TCATTTTTTTATTGCAAGAGTGTAATTAACACAAATACTTGAAAAAAATAATTATTTATATAAAATACTGATAGTTAGAGGTCAAAAAATGGGCTCGGCCTGGAGGGCCGGCCCGCCAATATATTTTTATAATTCAATTGAAATTTTATTGTTCTTCTTTTATAATTAAATTACTAAATCTGGTTTCAATTTTTGTAAATACAAATTTGTGAAATTTCAAAGACTAACGACACTAATCCTTGCAAAAAAACTATTTATATAAAATGCTGACAGTTAGAGGTGAAAAACTGAGCACGGCCCGGAGGGCCAGTCCGCTAATATATTTTTATAATTCAATTGAAATTTTATTCTTCTTCTTTTATAATTAAATTTCTAAATCTTATTTCAATTTTTGTAAATACAAATTTATGAAATTTCAAAGACTAACGACACTAATCTTTGCAAAAAAAAATTATTTATATAAAATGCTGATAGTTAGAGGTTGAAATCTGGGTTTGGCCTGGAGGGCCGGTTTTTTTGTAATTCAACTAAAATTTTATCCTTCTTCTTTTATAATTAAATTATTAAATCTGATTTCAATTTTTGTAAATATAAATTTGTGAAATTTCAAAGACTAACGACACAAATTCTTGCAAAAAAAATAATTATTTATTATTATTTTATAAATCTTATTGTAGCAAATGAAGGTTCATCTCTGAGATAAAATATAAAAACCTAGACGCAAATATAAAAATCTTTTTTTGTGGATAAATATAAAAACCTTTTACATGCTGATAGTTAGAGGTGGCAAACTGGACTCGGCCTGGAGGGCCGACCCACAAACGCATTTTTATAATTAAATTAAAATTTCATCCTTTTTCTTTTATAATTAAATTCATAAATCTAATTTTTATTTTTGTAAATACAAATTTGTAAAATTTCAAATACTAACGACACAAATCCCTGCAAATATTAATTATTTATTATTATTTTTTAAATGCGATTGCAATAAATGAAAGTCTATCTCAAAGAGTAATGTAGTTGCTTTTATTTTGTTCATATGCATTTGTTGCAATGTAAGCAAAAAATATGACTTATACCTTCTTATATGATTAAGTTGCATTCAAATCCCGTTCAGACAACATTTTTTTTGGTCCTTAAAAAAATTTAATCCAATCTTTTTTTTTTGCTGATACTATGACTTTTGGGTGTTAACATATGAATGTTACTTATTTAATGAGGTTTTGTCTTCTGTATCGTAGGCACAAGGAACGAAAATCACACAAGAAATGACATATTTAGTAAGTGTTGAACTCATCCCTCCAATGATTGCTAAGAAATGACACTGAATGAATAGCGTTTTCATATTATAGGTAAAAGCTGATTTTTTAAATCCATATTTGCTTGGTGTTATTGTTTCCTTGATTTTGTTGATGAATGTTATAGTTAGCAATGATTTGTACACATTTTTCTTTTTATATCCCTTTCTCATGTTAACATGGTGTATTATAACGTATTATGGTGTATTATGATGTAGTTGTATGCAAAATTAATTATCCCTCTGAATAACATATTTTTGTTTCTGGTTGATATTTGCAAAGCTCTGTGTCAATGCTGTAATTTTTTTCACCTGAAATATAGAACAAAATAACAACACAGTTTTTTGCAAATATAATGTTTGCAGTGCGATTAACCAACCACGGCGGACGACAAAATTTTTGATCTTTTTTCCCCGTGCATCGCACGGGTAATATACTAGTTAGTCTATAAAAGGGTGCTTATAATGTTGTCAAACTCGAGTTTCTACGTAGACACGAAAAGGGTTGGTAGAAATGTAAAACGTAGAAACGGCACGAAACGTAAAGTTTCTACTTTATACTTTTTACTACTTAAAGTCAAGATACAAAATTATATATATATGCATGAAAAAAAATTCATATAATGAACATGTGTGTTGAGCCACTTATCTATCTAAAAAGGAAAAAAAATTTGATAACCAAGTATCAAAATTATAAACAGTGATAACTAACAAGTAACAAGTAATGGATAACCAATCTTCTCTAATTGTTTCATACACTCTGCATATTTTGGATCATCACTCATCAGGATATAATTCTACTTCTTTCAATACACACAATTATCCAAAAATACAAAACGATTCTCATAGCATAACTTATAATATAATTGCATCTTTACAAGATATAATTATAAAAGATATATATCCAAACAAAAAGATATCAAGATATTGGGGATATAATTTGGGGAAAAAGAAAATTGGGTTTTTTTTAATTTCTTTTTTTGTAAATCTTTTTTTAAAAAAAAAATTGTTTTAAGTAAAAACGGTCAAAACGGTAAAAAATTTACGTTTTTACCGTTTTTACATGGCGTTTTTACCAGCTTTTACTAAGGAAAGTTTTTACTTGCGTTTTAACACACACCACACTAGTAAAATCGTAAAAACGTAAGTTTTTACGTTTTTACACTAGTTTTTGACAACAATGCTTATGACCCTTATTGTAGGAGTTGAATTTTGTTATTTGAAAATTAGAAATTGAGAATCGGAGGATTACTCTTTTGAAAAATTCCAACTTTATGTTTAGTCACTTTTATATGCGCTTTTGGCATCATTTGGTATCAAAGCACTAGGTTGCCTTCAACAAATGGCTGAACAAAATCGTGGAGGTCGACGACAACGGAGTCACGAGGGTAGGGAACGTGGATTCGTTCCTGAAGAATATAGACAACTACGTCAGATTGACCCGCGAGATATAGAAAATGAAGAGCTCGGAAGGCAGATCCAGGATTTGAAGCAACAACTTGAGCAAGCGCTGGATAAGAAAATCCAAGTTTTGAAGTGACTATGTGTGCGGGGACATAGAAAGAGAATTCAAGATTTGGAGCGACGACTCGTGCGGGTATGCATGAAAATTCAAATTTTGAAGCAAACTCTTGTGGAGGTGCAGAGCATAAAAATTCAATGTTTTGAGCGGCAACTTGCGTGGACAAAGTTTGGCATTCAATTCGAAGAAGAAATGGAATTAGATGATGCATCTGATGACGAAGAAGAAGACGTCAATCCCTTCGTAATTCTAAACCAGGGACAAAATTGGGAAGTACGACCTGGAAATCAGTCCACTTTTCAAGATATCGAGATGCAAATCAGCATTCTTGACTTTGAAGTCTATGATCATAATCCAGTTTGTGATGATGATTCGATCTATGATGATAATCCAATTTATGATGATTATCCGATTGTTGATAATTATCCCTTTTATGATGATTTTCCATCTTATGATGAAGATTCAGTTAATGATGATAATCAAGTCTATAATAAATCTGATGGAGAATAAGATTATGAAGATCTAATAGAGGAAGATTTATCATTTGAGTTTTTGTTTAAAGAAATTGAGATTAGTGAAGATAAACGAGATTCGAGGATGAATCTTTTCCTAGCTGGGGAGAATGATGCACTTACAGTTGGCCCATTGCACATGGCCCAACCATTGATTCAAGAAGCTCGTAGTCAACTAGAGTTGTGACCAAATAAGTATGACCCACTTGTTGAAAACGACAATGATTTGAAATATAACAAATTACAATCGAATTCAAGTCCCAATAAAGCAGCATATGTGATTGTGATTTGTTTGGGAAGAAAAGGAAAGCAACATATTTGGAGTGATTTGAGATTAAAGATTTGGGATGTATTTTGAATTATTTATTTGTAATTTTTTATTTTTTTTAGATGTTAATTATTGTTATATTTATTTTAGGAAGTTTTATTATTTTTAGAATTTTAGATTTTGAATTTTGAATCAATTTGTAATTAGTCTGTAAAAGGGTGCTTATGGCCCTTATTGTAGGAATTGAATTTTGTTATTTGAAAATTAGAAATTGAGAACCGGAGGGTTACTCTTTGGTAAAATCCCAACTTTTTGTTTTGTCACTTTTCTATGCGCTTTCGGCATGATACCATTAAATGATGCCGAAAGCGCATAGAAAAGTGGCTAAACAAAAAGTTAGGATTTCATAAAAGAGTAACCCTTCGGTTCTCAATTTCTATTTCTCAAATGACAAAATTCAACTCCTAGAATAAGGGTCATAAGCACCCTTTTATAGACTAATTACAAATTGATTCAAAATTCTAAATCTAAAATTCTAAAAATAATAAAACTTCCTAAAATAAATATAACAGTAATTAACATCCAAAAATAAATAAAAAATTTACAAATAAATAATTCAAAATACATCCCAAATCTTTAATCTCAAATCACTCCAAATATGTTGTTTTCCTTTTCTTCCCAAACAAATCACAATCACATCTGCTGCTTTATTGGGACTTGGATTCGATTGTAATTTGTTAAATTTCAAACCATTGCCTCTTTCAACAATTTGGTTATACTTATTGGGCCACAATTCTAATTTACTACGAGCTTCTTTAATCAATAGTTGGGCCATGTACAATGGTCCAACTATAAATGCATCATTCTCCCCCACTAGGAAAAGATTCGTCCTCGAATCTTGTTTATCTTCATTAATCTCAATTTTTTTAGACAAAAACTCAAATGATAAATCTTCCTCTATTAGATCTTCATAATTTGATTCTCCATCAGATTTATTATAGACTGGATTATCATCATAAACTGAATTTTCATCATAAGATAGATAATCATCATAAATGGGATAATTATCAACAATCGAATAATCATCATAAATTGGATTATCATCATATATTGGATCATCATCACAAACTGGATTATGATCATAGACTTCAAAGTCAGGAATACTGATTTGCATCTTGATATATTGAAAGGTGGACTGATTTCCACGTCGTACTTCTCAATTCTGTCCCTGGTTAAGAATCCCCGAGGGATTGACGTCCTCTTCTTCGTCATCAGATGCGTCATCTAATTTCATTCTTTCTTCGGATTGAATGCTCAACTTTGTCCACGCAAGTCGTCGCTCCAAATATTGAATTTTCATGCTCTGCACCTCCACAAGAGTTTGCTTCAAAATTTGAATTTTCATGCATACTCGCACGAGTCGTCGCTCCAAATCTTGAATTCTCTTTCTATGTGCCCCACATATAGTTTCTCCAAAACTTGGATTTTCTTGTCCAACGCTTGCTCAATTTGTCGCTTCAAATCTTGAATCCGCCTTCCGAGCTCTTCATTTTTTATATCTTGCTGGTCAATCTGACGCAATTGTCCATATTCTTCAGGAACGAATCCACGTTCCCTACCCTCGCGACTCCGTCATCGTTGACCTCCACGATTCTGTTCAGCCATTGGTTGAAGGCAACCTAGTACTATGATACCAAATGATGCCGAAAGCGCATAGAAAAGTGGCTAAACAGAAAGATAGGATTTCATAAAAGAGTAACCCTTCGATTCTCAATTTCTATTTCTCAAATAATAAAATTCAACTCCTAGAATAAGGGTGCACCCTTTTATAGACTAATTACAAATTGATTCAAAATTCTAAATCTAAAATTATAAAAATAATAAAACTTTCTAAAATAAATATAATAGTAATTAACATATACAAATAGGGATAGGATATTGTGACACCCAAGTTATGTTACATCCATGTGACACCCAGTCAATCTCACCGTTAGATCGCTTATGTTGATCCAATGGTTATATTTATTTTCATCTTTGTATGGTCATGATTTCCCAAATTTAATGTTTTATATTTATTTCTACCTTTGTATGGTTATGATTTCCCATATTTAATGCTTTCACTTTAAATTTGGGAAATCATGATCATACAAATATGGAAATAAATATAACCGTTGGATCAACATAAGCGATCTAACGGTGAGATTGACTGGGTGTCACATGGGTGTAACATAACTTGGGTGTCACAATATCCTATCCCATAAAAATAAATAAAAAATTACAAATAAAAAATTCAAAATACACCTCAAATCTTTAATCTCAAATCACTCTAAATATGTTGCTTTTCTTTTCTTCTCAATCAAATCACAATCACATCTGCTGCTTTATTGGAACTTAGATTCGATTGTAATTTGTTATATTTCAAATCATTGCCTCTTTCAACAATTGGGTCATATTTATTGAGCCACAATTCTAATTGACTACGAGCTTCTTTAATCAATGATTGGGTTGTACAATGGACCAAATGTAACTGCATCAATACTCCTTCAACTTGTTCCATTTGTCTTGATCTTCATTCCACGAGTCGTCAAGAACAAGTAAATATCTTTTTGTTGTAAATAATATTGATTATTTAGTTTTTATTTAGTCATTTATTGTTGTATTGGGCCAAGCCCTTTGTTGTATTGGGCCAAGCCCATTAGGTTAAAAGTAGGTCAAATATTCTCTATAAATAGAGAACCCTTTGTACACATTATTTACAATTCTATAATATATTAGAATACCCTTTTTCAAGTTGGTATCAGAGCTCTCGATATGAGGGCTTTGCTTCCGCACATATTATCTTCTTTTTTAACAAAACCCTAATTTCTTTGCCTCTTGCCGCCATCAGCCGCCACCGGAAAATTTTTCCGGGGACCTTTTGGACCAAGGGGACCATTGTTGACCTTATTTTTCCTCCGATCTATCATTCTATGCATTGTTCCTCCGCCACAAACGTCCGAAACACCTCCGACCGCCTCAAATCAGATCTGTCTTCACTGTTTGGACCACTTTCCGGTGACTTTTCAACCGCGACCACCCACATACAGGTGCGCGCTCACTAGACGACCACACCAGAAAAATCTCAGCCGGCGAAGCCCATCCACGCGCTCTCACGCGCCGCCCCTTTCCCGGCGAGTGAATCCCATGCGCAGCTCCTTTCTCCGGCGCGTGGAGGCGCGTACAGCCGTGTTTTTGGACCGGACCACCACCATTCTTCTCGTCTTCTTGTCTTCTGTCTGGATCTGTAATTATTTTTCTGATCAGAGGTCATTTGATATTTTGTTTGGTTGATTTTATCGCTGGTTGTTAACTTTTTTTGTTAAAGAATGGCCGAGCGTGATAGTTCTTCGATCTTATCTGGTAAGAGCACACGTTCTATATCTCTTCTTGCTTCTTCCACTGATTTTAAAACCTCATCGATTTCGGATTCTGGTGCAACTGATCATATGGCTTGTCGTACTGAGTTGTTTTGTTCTTATTATCCTACTGTTGGTAGTCATACTATATCCGTAGCTGATGGATCCCATAAATCAGTTATTGGTTCTGGTAACATTCAAATTCAACCTTCCTTGTTTCTTAAAAATGTTCTTTATGTTCCTCAGCTTTCTACTAATCTTATCTCCACTCAAAAACTTACAACTGATTTGAATTGTTCTATCACATTTTTCCTTCTCATTGTCTTATTCAGGATCTTACCACGAAGAAGACAATTGGAGTTGCTAATGAACAGGATGGGTTGTATCATCTCCTTCCAGACCATGCTAGCAAAAATTAGTTATTAATGACACGTCATCCTTCTACTGCAGAGTCTATGATTTGGCTCCATCACAAGCGTCTGAGGCATCCACCATTTAGTCTTTTGAAGTCTATGTTCCCCTCTCTGTTTCTCAATAAGTCGGTTGAGACCTTACATTGTGATGTTTGTGAATTTGCAAAACACCATCGAGTGTCATTTCCTTCTAGCACTATTAAAAGCAGGGAACCTTTTTCTCTTATCCATTCTGATGTTTGGGGCCCTTCTAAAGTGCACAGTGTTTCAGGTGCAAGGTGGTTTGTTTCTTTTATTGACGATTGTACTCGGATAACATGGATATACTTGATGAAAGACAAGTCTGAAGTACCAGAGATATTTATTCGGTTTCATCACATGGTTGAGACTCAGTTTCGTAAGGGTATTAAAAGACTCAGATCTGATAATGGTACTGAGTACGTCAATCGACGCCTGTCACAATTCATTTCAGACAGAGGTATGATTCATGAGCTCACATGTGTTGATACCCCTCAACAAAACGGGGTTGCTGAAAGGAAAAATCGTCATCTTCTTGAAGTTGCTAGAGCACTACTTTTTCAGACATCTGTTCCTAGTTCTTATTGGGGAGAAGCAGTATTAGCTGCAACTTTTTTGATCAACCGTTTACCTTCACGGGTCCTTAACAATATCAGTCCTATTCATTCCATGACTTCCTTCTTTCCTTTTGTTCCCATATTGCAGAGCCTTCCACCAAGAGTGTTTGGATGTGTTGCCTTTGTCCATGTTCATAAACAACATCGGAGTAAGTTGGATCCTAGGGCTCTTAAGTGTGTCTTCCTTGGTTATAACCCTTATAAAAAAGGGTACAAGTGTTATCATCCACCAAATCGGAAATTTTTTGTTTCTATGGATGTCACCTTTCAAGAATCTGAATCTTATTTCCTGGGTCCTCATCGTCAGGGGGAGAATAGTTCTTCAGAAGACTCGTCCCCTTCCTTCTTTGAGTCTGGATCAATCTTCTCTCTTCCTAGTGTGTCTGCTCCTGGTGTGTCAGAACCTTCAAATACACCTGAGATACAACCCATACTGTCTCACCAGCAACCTCAATCGTCTGAACCACTGGTAAGTCCTGAATCTCCTATTTCTTCTGAGTCTCCTGAATCTCCTGTTTCTGATTCTAATATTATTTCCTCCTCTCATGATTTGTCTATTTCTTCTGATATCTCTAATGACTTACCCATTGCTTCTACTTCTGATGACTTACCTATTGCTCTTAGAAAAGGAAAAAGATCTTGTCACAAGAAAACTTGTTCCTCCTGTCCCTCTTGTACTCAATACCCTATCTCCCACTTGGTTTCCTCTGCTAATCTTTCTGTGCAGCACAAGAGCTTTGTTTCAGCACTAGATTCTATTACAATCCCAAAATCAGTACATGAAGCCTTGAAAGATAGGAATTGGGCTCAAGCCATGCAAGAGGAGATGAATGCTTTGGAGAAAAATAAAACATGGGAGGTTATTGATAGACCCAACGGAAAGAAAGCAGTAGGGTGCAGATGGGTTTATGCCCTGAAATATAATTCTGATGGCACTCTTGAGAGATATAAGGCTCGATTAGTGGCCAAAGGTTACACTCAAACCTATGGCATTGATTATGAAGAAACCTTTGCTCCAGTTGCAAAGATGAATACAGTGAGAATCTTGTTATCCCTTGCTGCCCATTACAATTGGGATATAAATCAATTTGATGTGAAAAATACTTTCCTCAATGGTGAGTTAGAAGAAGAAGTCTACATGGAAATCCCGCCTGGTTTTGATGCTGTGAAGGGGGAAAATAAAGTTTGTAGATTAAAAAAGGCCTTGTATGGATTGAAGCAGTCACCTCGTGCTTGGTTTGGAAGATTTACTAAGGTTATGATGACCTTAGGATACAGACAGAGCCAAGGATATCACACTCTTTTCTTCAAGCACTCCCAAAATGGGAAGCTTACTGTGCTCCTTGTATATGTTGATGATATTATTATCACAGGTGATGATTTTGTGGAGAGACAGATTCTGCAAACACAGCTTGCCTCTGAGTTTGAAATCAAAGACCTTGGGAAACTGAGATATTTCCTAGGGATAGAAGTAGCTCATTCAAGCAAAGGAATTTTTATCAGCCAGAGGAAATATGTTCTTGATCTTCTCAAAGAAGCAGGAAAGCTCGGGTGTAAACCCTCTAATACTCCTATTGAGCAGAATCACAAGATGGGCTATGAAGAAGAGAGTCCTCCAGTTGATAAAGGACAATATCAACGGCTAGTTGGGAAATTGATATATCTGGCCTATACTAGACCAGACCTAGCTTATGCTGTTAGTGTTGTCAGTCAGTTTATGCATGATCCAAAGGAAAAACACATGCAGGCAGTAGAGAGAATTCTTCAGTATCTTAAAGGTACTCCTGGTAAAGGATTGTTATTCCGACGTGATGGCAATCTATCTTTAGAAGTCTACACAGATGCTGATTATGCTGGATCCGTGACTGACCGTCGTTCTACCACTGGTTATTGCATGTTTCTTTGCGGTAACTTGGTGACATGGAGAAGTAAGAAACAAGATGTGGTTGCCAGATCAAGTGCAGAAGCTGAATTTCGAGCTATGGCTCAAGGCATTTGTGAGTTACTGTGGCTGAAAACTGTACTTGATGATCTCAAAATAAAATGTGAGGGACCTATGAAGCTGCTATGTGATAATAAGTCCGCTATTTGTATAGCTCATAATCCAGTTCAACATGATCGGACTAAACATATTGAGGTCGACCGCCATTTCATCAAAGAGAAACTTGATAGCGGGTTGATTACCACTCCATACATTCCCACTAGGCGTCAATTAGTTGATCTATTAACAAAGGGGCTTCCTTCAGACAGATTTCAAGAACTTACTAGCAAGCGGAATGATAAATATCTATTCCTCAGCTTGAGGGGGAGTGTTGTAAATAATATTGATTATTTAGTTTTTATTTAGTCATTTATTGTTGTATTGGGCCAAGCCCTTTGTTGTATTGGGCCAAGCCCATTAGGTTAAAAGTAGGTCAAATATTCTCTATAAATAGAGAACCCTTTGTACACATTATTTACAATTCTATAATATATTAGAATACCCTTTTTCAAGTCTTTTGCTTGAACTTTTTTTTGTATTGCTTCTAAAGTACCGAGATTGGGGTTTTGTCCTGTGAAAGATTCTGTGATGGATTCTAGAATTCTCTTCATACTGAAATCATCGGAAACACTAACCCAAATTCTCAAGTCAAAATGTGTCGCAACCCTTTCATCATTGAATACATGTTGAACAAGAGTTGTTTTTCCAAGTCCACCCATACCAACAATAGGATAGATTGAGAGACCTTCAGTGTTAGTGGCATGGCTGAGAAGAAACTCCACAATCAGCTTTATGTCTTGGTCTCTTCCGTATAATTTGGGTTCTGTGGTGACAGAGATAGTTTGGCGCCGTTCTTCAACTTGGGGTCGGTTTTGGGTCTCAACAATTCTGGCAGCACGAAATTCAAACAAGCGCCTTTCTTCATTAATATCATTAAATTTTGGGAAAACATTTTCTCCTTTTTAAAGGAGAAAATTTTTCTCATGTTAATGACCCATAGCATAGGTGGGTCCCACAAAATAGTGGAAAGAGAAAAAAATTTAAGGTGGGACCCACTTATGCTTTGAGTCACTAACATTGAGAAAAAATTTCTCCGGAGAAAATGTTTTCCCTTAAATTTTTTGGTGATCTCTTCCATCCTTTTACCAACATCTATACGAAACAGAATGTTTCTAGGGTGGAAACGCGATATTTGTCCTTCAAAATGCAGTCGGTTGGACTGTATTGAACAATGGTCCAATATGTCATCGAGAACATGAGCAGCATCAGTGAGCTTCTGCAGCCAAGCCTTAACGGCATGGCCATGGCTTGTCATTCCCATTTCCTCAGCATCTTGGAGGATGGCGTTGATTACAGTGAGATATCCAGTTAGCTTTTGGATCTGTCCCTCAACACCCGTGAAGGTAGCAAGCTGATCCTGCCCAAAAGATTTTAAGTTATCAATCACAAATTCAAGCAAGGAATCAGCCATTTTCATATCTGAGAAATAGCACAAATGAAAGGGTGTTAGATGGTTTTGAACTGGGAATAAGATGATTGATTGATGCCTCTACCGAATCAAGTAATAAATATTACATTACAAAGCAGGAATATGGGCGCAAGACTTCGAGTCAACTATGAACCATAATTATTATAAAGGGCCTTTTGACCAATATAATTCGAAATTGCTAATGTTTGACTAATATAATTCTATGACAATACTATTGGCCATAGTAATACATGGCAACGCGCTATGTCAGAAGCCGATTTCATACGCGGTAATTTCCCAAACGATTATGAAAACGTTCCTAAACATAACGTCTTTCATTTGCAAAGAACACGTTAGGCATGCAGACACGTTACTGTTCACACTTAAAAATGTCACACATACAAACGTTTTCATGAATGCATGTTGGAAACGGTAGTTAACCAGACGTGTTCCTATTCGACTGAAAAAATGTCAGACCAAAATGACAGTGCATTGACACGTTCAGACTGGAAAAGGTGACGTGTGGAAAATGGTAGGAGCAGTAACAGGTTCAGTCTCCCATGCACCTGAAAACGATATTATTGTTTATAATTTTTATTATTCAATTCGTTCAATGTTAAAAATATCCTTATTATATAAAATTTTACAATATCTTTAATAAATAACATACTAACCTACAAATGAAATGTAAACATATCCATAATTAAAAAAAAAATCTTAAAATAATATAGAGTAAATACCATTTTTGATCCCTAACAAAAAACACGGTCCCCACTTTAGTCCTTTACAAAAATATATTAGTCAGTTAGTCCCTAACAAATTCAAGGTGGACCCATTTTAGTCCTTTTGAGGGACTAATATGGGTCTTTTTTGAATTTGTGAGAAACCACGATTTCAACTAAATGGGTCCATTTTGAATTTGTTAGGGACTAACTGACTAATTTATTTTTGTAAGGGACAAAGTGGTGACCGTGTTTTTTGTTAGAGACTAAAAAGGGTATTTACTCAATAATATATAAATTTAACATAAATAATATTTCATTTATAAAATAATGAAATAATAGGGTTTATAAAATAATATAAGAATTTGTGACCATGAACAAAATATATCATTTTTAAAATATTCTTTCGGAAACGAAAGACGTTCTTAAGTGTACAGTAACGCATATGCATGCCTAACATGTTCTTTGCAAATGAAAGACGTTATGTTTAGGAACGTTTTCATAATTGTTTGGGATACTACTGCGTATCAAATCGGCTTCTGACAAGGCGTGTTGCCATGCATTACTATGGCCAATAGTATTGTCATAGAATTATATTGGTCAAACATTAGCAATTTCGAATTATATTGGTCAAAAGGCCTACAAGTGGCCATAAATAGACAGAAGTGGCCTCAAAAAATTCCTTGTCAAATAAGAGTATCTTGGGAAGGAAAAAATCTAGCGTACTACCCATGTATATACAACAAAGAAACAAGAGCACGCCATATCACTTGTTTTTATACCAGAGAAAAAAAATACTTTTATATTTATATTATCTATCACTGAGAGTATATAGTTATGGGAGGTTATGTTGCTGTCATATATTTTGTATTTTGAATTTAATGTAATAAGAGTTGATTGTGTTTTTTATTTAATAGGAGCTGAAAGGTATCAGAGAAAAAGGAAGAAGATAAGATGAAAGAAAGAAAGTGTGTATTGTATTGAAAAAGGAAAATTACATTGTGTTTAACTGAGTTAACACTAAAGCTATTTATACAGATTACTCACACATATTGAGCAACTAATAACTAACTTAACTGTCATAACAATAAAGCTAAATAAGTGGAAGTCTGTTATATTATTTAACAGACTCAGTAACTATTCTTTCATTCCCCCGCGAACTCAGCATCGAAGGAATGGAGAGGGTGAGTTTGTCTCTGAAATCCAAAAAATGTGAGCTAGAAATGGCTTTGGTTAATCCATCTGCAAGCTGATTTGCAGAAGGAATATGACTCACAATAATAGAGCCGCTGAGTATCTTCTCTCGAACAAAGTATAAGTCAAGTTCAAAGTGCTTCGTGCGTGAATGAAAAAGGGGATTTGCTGTAAGTAGAACAGCACTGAGATTATCACAGAAAATTCGAGGTGTAGTCAAGTGAGTAATTCTGAGTTCTGACATCAAGGATTTTATCCAAGTTAGTTCAGCTACAGTAGCAGCCAAGCACCTATATTCAGCTTCGGTGCTTGAACGACTTACTACTCCTTGCTTCTTAGAAGACCAAGATACTAGGTTCCCTCCTAAGAAGATGCAGAACCCAGAGGTAGAGCGCCTGTCATCGACATCAGACCCACAATCAGAATCACAATATGCCAGGAGCTGAGGTTTCAAGGAAGGAGTAATTGTTAAGCCCATGTGAGAAGTTCCTTGAAGATATCGCAAAATACGTTTTACTGCTTTCCAGTGAGAGTCCAGTGGAGTGTGCATGAATTGGCATACCTTATTAACAGAGAAAGTAATATCTGGGCGTGTGATAGTTGCATACTGAAGGGCACCTACAATTGATCGATAAAGGGAGGGATTATCAAATTCACTGCCATTACGAGCTGACAGTTTCAAACCAGAAACCATGGGAGTTGGCATTAGTTTGCTGGTTGCTAACCCTGCTTTAGTAAGAAGATCAGTAATATATTTGGACTGAGAGAGGTGGAGTGAACCATTAGGCAGAAGCTTCGATTCTATTCCCAGAAAGAAGTAAAGAGGTCCCAAATCTTTGAGAGCAAATGCAGCATTGAGTGACTTGATGAGTGAGGAAATCACTGTTGAAGAAGAGCCAGTGATTAAAATATCATCAACGTAAATCAAAACATAAGTTGTTAAAGAGTGGTTGATTGACACGAAGAGAGAAGTGTCACATTTGGTGGCATGAAATCCAAGCTAGATGAGAGTGCTGCTCAATTTCTCAAACCAAGCACGAGGTGCTTGTTTGAGACCATAAAGTGCTTTGTCCAACCGGCAAACAAGATTGGGATTGGTGGAGAGAAAGCCTTGCGGCTGTGTCATGAAAACTTCTTCTTGAAGAGTGCCATTTAGAAACGCATTATTGACATCTATTTGTCTGATGGACCATCCATGAGAGAGAGCCAGGGTGAGAACAATTCGAATAGTCACAGGTTTAACAACTGGACTGAATGTTTCAGCATAGTCGAATCCTTCTCTTTGATTGAAGCCTTTTGCAACTAATCTGGCTTTGTATTTTTGGATAGATCTATCAGGGTTGTACTTCACACGAAAAACCCATTTACAGCCAATTGGTTTTCGACCAGAAGGCAATGGCATTAATGTCCATGTTTTGTTTTTCATTAGAGCAGCATATTCTTCATTCATGGCTTTGAGCCAATGGGGTTGAGCTAAGGCCTGATCTACAGAAGCAGGTTCTAAAGAAGCAGTGTAGAGTCGAGGCTTGAAAATACCAGCCTTTGATCGAGTAGTCATGGAATGTTGATTGGTTAAGGGAGCCAGATCAGGAACAATATCAGGAGCCATTGAAGTGATAGCAGCAGTAGTTGGAGCAACATCAGCAGTAGGATATGACAATTGCAATGGATTAGAATTATTTTCAGACCTGCAAGGAGAATTTGAAACAGATGGCAAAGTAGGTACAATATGGTTAATGGTGTTAGTAGAAATTTCAACATGTGAGTCACTCAAAGGTAATGAAGGAGTAATGATAGGTATAAAAGGTATTTGATTTGGTGTGGATGATGGAACTTGAGTAACTGGTATGTGTGAAGCTTGTTGATAAGGAAAGATGTGTTCATAAAAAATGACATGTGGAGTAAAAACTATTTTACCACTTGGTGTAAGACATCTGTATCCTTTATGAGAATAATTGTAACCAAGAAATGTGCTTTGAAGTGATCTGTAATCCAGTTTATGAGCATTATAAGGTCTAAGATATGGATAACATGCACATCCAAAGGTTCTTAGAAAGCTATAATCTGGTTCTTTTGCAAACAGTAGTTGGTGAGGGGATAAATGACCAAGATTAGGTGAAGGAAGGATATTAATGATGATGCATGCTGATACAAAAGCATCTTCCCAAAATCTTTGGGGCAAAGAAGAGGCAGCAAGCATGGATAAACCAATCTCAACTACATGTCTGTGCTTGCGCTCAGGGGTACCATTCTGTTGATCGATATATGGACAGGATAATCTATGAATAATGCCATGTGTTTGGAGATAAGGTTTGAGAGATAGGTATTCTTTTGCATTATCAGTTTGTAGAGACTTTATTTTGGTATTGAGTTGAAGTTCAATCATGGTTTTAAATTGAACAAAAAAAGAGTATACTTGGGATCTGTTTTTCATAGGGTAAAGCCAGGTGTATCTACTATAAGCATCTATAAAGCAAATGTAATATCTAGAACCATAGCTGCTGTTAACTGGTGCTGGTCCCCAAACATCAGTATACACAAGATCTAATGGATTGTGATATGTGTTTGTAGAAGAAGCAAAAGGCAATTGGAGCATCTTGCCCATACAACAAGGACCACAAACAATTTTATTTTCATTGCGAAATGGGATTTTACAATGAGTAAGAATGGATTTTACAATTGAAAAGGAAGCATGTCCTAATCTAGAATGCCATAGATCAAGGACAGAGTTGCATTTATTTGGAGGAACTGTTTGTGCTTGAAAAACAGAATGCTTGGAAGTGGAAAACTTGATATGTGGAAGAATCTCCTTGGTAGCCTGTGATTTAACATAGCAATCATTAGCATGAAACTCAAAAAATACATTATGATCTTTAGCAAATTGTGAAACACTCAGGAGGTTCTTTGACAATTCAGGTACATGAAGTAAGTTGTTTAAAGGAAAGGATAAGGACTTTGATGATGAATGAAGTAATGAGTGACCAATGTGTTGAATTCTCATACCTGCACCATTACCTACTTTGACAGTTTCTTGACCTTTGTAAATGGACTTTGAAATCATATTCGATTCATCAGGTGTAAAGTGGT